ATCGAGTTTATAAATTTTCGAGCAAATTGCACACAACTTTCAGTAATATATGTAGTTTATATAGTAGTTTAATGGAAATTCTTATGTTATGTATTATATCATGCATTATTTCTGCATTATTAATCGGTTGATTAATAATCGTAATTAACAAGTTTAAATATATTAAATTCTCTGGATAGATAATTTAAGAGTTCTGATATCATCTTTTTTTTTTTTATTATTTAATTCATCAATTCAATCAACGATATGATGTAACATCATATGTTTTTGGGAAAGACATCTTTCTATTATCGTGTTACAAGCGAGACAACATTACGACCAATCGTTTGAAGGAGGAGCGGAAATGTTTGGACAAATTAAGCGAACAATTAAGATCCCTTGTCAATCAGTCATTTGACGAAGCAGAGACACCGCAGTATCTTATCAAAGCGACCAATTCTGGGTCCATTACCACAATGGACAAGCTGAAGGTTCGTGTGGCACACATAAGGAGTCAAGTGACGGACACGCGATATGACAAAAAAGTCTTATAATAAAAGTCCTTCCACTCTCATTACTTAAAAAGAAAGGACCTTTTTTATCGTATATCAGAGTAGTACTCGACTCGAGTCACCATGTTGAAAAATTGTATTTTTAAAATGAAAGTCGACTATAAAATTAATTGATGCAAATGATAATTCGATGTATTGAAAAATTTAATTCATGTTTATACAAAAAACAAAAACGAATGTGCCATCGAATTGTTTGCGGAAATAAAGCATTGACCTATGATTATTGAAACAATCGACCAAGTTGAATCGCATGACAGAATTTCTAACTACGTACACATTTTATCATCCGATATCGCTCGTTCATCTCAATCAAGAATTAATAATTCGCCACAAATATTCCTCGATAAAATTATATCTGCAAGAAGTTTATTTTCTCTTTATTAACAGAGTTATTCAAATGCGAGGCAGGCTGAAGGGAGAAAAGTTGGGCGCGGTTTAGCGTCCAATTAATTTTAATTATAATTACTCGTCTTTTTTAATAAATATCGCAGCTTCATGCCGTATTTCAGTTTTTCCAGTCAGCATTATCACAGTACTCCTTCGCTGATATCCGTTACGAAATTAAAATAAAAATGATATTCTGTCGTTTATCGAGTATAATGTATTATATTTATAAACGAAAATATATAATATCAATTTGGAACATTTCATTCGGAATATGACATAAATAATCCTATTCGTTATTGTCAACGTGATGATATTAACATTAGACTAATTAAACTTATTTCTGTGTCTTCTCTATAGTGATAAATCCGTGCATAAAGAAGAAATCATAAGCAACGTAAGATAATTTTCTTTGATTCGATGCAACTCTTGACATTTTCATTTTGTGGAGGCGTGTTACAATCCAGCGCAAATGCAATTTAAATTTTACAGAAGCTGCAAGGTTGATTTTCTATAATTTATGCTTTGTCTAATGTTACATACTGGATACTGCCGTTTATTGATTTCTTTTGTGCATTGTGCATGAATTTTCTCTCTGTGTGTGAGCTTTTTTCCAATTTTTGAACAAAGCGCCATCTAAAATTAATGGAAACAGTCAAATCTATTAACGAAAGAGAAATATGATGGAGCAGAAAATGCTCTTGATATCAAGAGAAAGAGTTGATTTAATTTGACAATAAACGTGCCATTATGATATCATATGCGGTAATTTTCATTTATCAACAGCTATACTGACCCGATACTAATACTAGAAATATTATCCATACATACGGAAGAGATCGCTCGTGGACGCGATGGGACAACTTGCTTCCGGTCAATCTATTACCCTCGTCTATATACCGCGCATCAGTACCTTTAGCAATTTGAAAGAGCATCCCCTAATCGATCGCGATGTTTTCTCGTCGGCATAAATAGTAAAAAAATTCAGGGACTCTCGCGAATACCGGCGGAAAAATATCTAACGTATCATTAATTCGATTCACGTAAGGAGCTTTAACTTTTTCTCGCTTTTTCGATAATCTTCCTTTCTTATGCATCGAGCGAACGGAATGTACGCTCTCTCTTTCTGCATGCACAAGTGGAGTTTTTAAAATGCCCCGTAAAGTCCCTTTCTGATGCGTGAATTAATAAATAGATAGGGGAAATTTAGCAATACTCGTGGAGTATTTTCATCGGATGCAGGACACATTTAGCTTAAATTACGCGACCATTTATTATAGTAAAAACGGGGATTTATGAGAGATATTATACAAAATTATGAGGATTTATGAGATATTATACAAATTATTCTACTCACAATTATTCTATTCACACATTTCGGTATGCAACTCGTTTGTAAGCCGATGGAAATGAAAATGTTTAAAAATTCCTGATTTTTCTAGATTAGATTCAATTCCGTAGTAATGAATTCCGCAATTTTCGGTTCAATTT